TTCTCAAACACTGTCAACTTTTACTACAAATCATTTTTCCAATAATTTCTTTAAAAATCACTTTTAAAAAGCTTAGGCCCCCTTGTTTTGAAAAACGCTCCGTTAAACTCCCGAATTCTTAAAAAATACTACGTAGTCAATTGAGGGCTTGTTTACAATCACTTAAGAAAAGTGATTTTGGCTTTTTTTAAAGAATAAACACTTATTTTACCAAACACTACCAACTTTTACTTTCTCGACTTCCGTGTAGAATCTACTTTTTACTTTTTCTATTACACATTTTCTTTTCCTTATCTTCCACACATTTTTCCGTGTGTGGAATCTACTTTCACACATTTTCTTTTCCTTATCTTCCATTTTCCATTTTTTTTCATTTTCTCTTTCTTTTTGTCCTTTCTTTTTCTTTTCTCAGATTCTCTTTTCCTCTTTCTTCTCTTCTCTTCTACGCAGGCACCCATTGACTTCTTCCCAACACTACTTTCGGACACTACTACACTTGTGCCGCCGACCACCGAATTCACTGCCATATGCCATCGCTCAACCGGCGGTCACCACCTCTAGAGCTATAAACGAATCAAATAAGTTTGATTCAATTCGTAATTCAAATTCAAAAATGTGGATTTCAATTCGAGTAAGTAGAACACATATACAAATCTGTTTTTTTATTCGAATAGTTTTCTAATATGAATACAAATATTATTATGGTTTTTAATCCATACAATATATACTACTCCTTATAAATAAATATATTTCGATGTAAAATATTAATAACATAATGATTATGTTAAAAACTAGTAAGTATTTTTCATATTTTAATTTATGTGTTCTAACTTTTCCAGGTCAAAACAACATATTTTAGAATAATAGTTCTTCATTGATTTATTTATATTGATGTTAACTTTGAAGAAGTGACTTGTAAATATACTTCACATTTTGTTTGGTCTAAAATATGCATTATAATTATTTTCATAATTTAACTTTAATCTTTTTTTTTGAATTTAAATATTCGAATAAGATTCAAATATATTCGAATATCCAAACGAATCGAATACGAATATATAATAAGATCTGAATATTAAACAAATACAAATACGAATGTTCGATAATTATACGAATACGAATAATATTGTGTAGTATTCGATTCTATTCACTTACAACCCTAATACCATCTATGTCGCTCTCACTGCCGACCTTTGAGCCGGCGGACTCCACTCCACTTAGCCACCAGACATCATTGCACATTTGCACTCAGCCGTTGCCCTTCACTGAATTAGGCGCCGCACTTTACTCCACTTAGCCGGAGCCGGGCACACTATGAATCCGGTGATGGCTGACCACGAACCCTGATTCCAGCGATGGCGGGCGCAATCCCCAAAGATATATGGTCGTCGCCGGCGCCGGAGGTAGCGGCTGGAGTCAATGGCAGGGGTGGCAAAACTTGAAATCCTCCCCACTAAATGAACTCGTATGTGCAAACGAGAAGAAAGAGGGGGGGGGGAGGGGGGGGGAGGGGGGGGAGGGTGGGGGGAGGGGGGGATCCAAGTGGGCCGCCACGTGGGCCAAGCCTACCCGCTAAAACATTATAAAGATGAGTTTTAGAATGTTAACTGCATTCTAACAAAGTTTAGACTATTTTAAATTATGTAATTATTTAAAAAAACTGTATTTATAAAAAACATACAATCATGCGAAAACAACTTTTTATATACAGTTTGAGGATGTGCTTATCTCACACCCATGTGCATTGTACTAACGATTGACTTAATTAAAAGGTTGTGATTAAAAGTTCTCATAATAACAAGTTCTCATTTTAAAATGAGTTCTCACTAGAACATTCCCCATTTTATCCAAAGTAATTAAAATGTGATTAAAGTACACGATATGTGAATAGTGTCGAATTGAACATATTATCTTTATTCCATATACACAATAACTAACATTATAGATAAGAGAAATGGTTGGGCATAGGACTAGAACTCTTGGTATATACTTAAATAGGAGTTGAAGTTTTTTAACTCCCAAATAGGACTAAATATTTTCTTTGTTCCAATATTGCCCCTCTGTTCTAATTTACGGAGTACAGAGTATTAGATGCGCTCCTCATTTCCTCAATATCTCCATCATTGACAGCGTCCGCGACTGTTTTAGCTGCAACATGAATGCCGCCCACCGCCCAACAATCTCACCTACAGACTTCCTCATTTCTTCTTCCGTAAGGTGAAATAGTGACTGGACATCGAATTCACCTTAACTTGCAGAACAGCTCTGACGAACACCCCAGGAAGTCTGGAACACATCAAGATGCATAATTTTTTGTTCGTTCCAGATTTAGGATTCTTTCGTTTAGATAATTGACATGCTTCTATTTGAATGTAATTGGTCCCCTTCTATTTTCTTTGCAACTCTTCCTTCTTCGATTCCAAACATTACAAGAGGCCGCAGCTGCAGGTGATGAAGGTCGCCGGATATGTATGTCGGCGTTGTAAGTGATGAAGCTTACCGGAGATGGAGGCCGCCGCTGCAAGTGATGAAGGTCAGGGAGATGCTTATTGGAATATATAAGCCCAAAGGCTACACTGAGATGAGACTCAGAGTTGGAATCGCGCTTACTAACGGCCCATCTCGCTAACCCCACAATTTGGTAAACTCCATACACAACAACGTTGTTCTTGCTACTAGAAGGGGAATGAAATATAACAAAACAGAGTTCGAAACTAATGAAAAAACAGAAAAGGAACAAAAGCCAGTTTGACCAACCACTGGCAAGGAAGTAGCGGGAGAAGAGGTTTTATCCACCATCTCTAAAGACAACATGCCGACTTGACCATCCATCGGGAAGGGAGAAGAGGGTTGTCCACTTACAATAGCTAATGATATTCTAGGCGGTGCTGATTCTGTAGCACCGCCCCAACGCCGTTTTTTTTATATGAACCCATCTTTCTCCATATTGACCTCAAACTCTACCGGGTTCCTCAAATTCACTATCACATCATCCCTCCTTCGTGGAACTGCTGCTACCGCCAATTCATTGTTCTCTTCCTCAGCAATGAATTTCATGCTATAATTCTTGATCATCATCTCCAAACTCACAAACTCTACTTGACTCTGGAAAAGCACCTCAGCTGTCCAACCAAAGCAGAAACAAAACAAATCTCGGCCACAAAGAGCCGGAAACAACCCTCGGGATAGAGCCTGGAAACAAAACAAGAAATAAAATTAACTAGTGGAGACCAAGGGAGAAGAGACCTGCGCAAATCTCAATCCATGCTCCAGCAAACTACGATAATCGATGGAACGATCTTCGTCAGAAGACCTGCGGCGCCCTTAGTCTTATCAAGAGCAATTTCTATTGATGATATCATATCATTGTCTTGAGTGAGCAATTAAGATATAAAAATGAGCCTCAATGTCCTCAAAGACGACCCTGAAAACATGAGTGAATGAGTCTTATTTTGGAAATAAAAATAATGATCACACATTCACACCATTATATTTCTTATGAATTATGATGGAAAAGGATAATTAAAGACTATATGGAACATATAGTAATCACAGGAATTCCTGTCCGGAATTTCTGGACAGGAACCCTCGTCCGGAATTTCCGGACAGGAACCCCCGTCCGGCCTCCTTCATTTGGGGGCCTTTCCGGTGGTATTTTTTGCTCAAATTTTTTGTGTATGTTCCTCATCAAGTCTAGTTCATCCATACCAAATTAGGCATGGACCCGGGCCGGGCCGGTTCCGGTTCCGGGCCGGGCCCGGCCGGGCTTTTTTTTTGGGAAGGAAGGCCCGGGACCGGCCCGGGTAGCCACCGGGTCCGGTCCGGGTCCGGGCCGGGCCGGGCCTCCGGTTCGGTTATATTTTTTTTTTTTTTTTGCTTTCCTAACCCCCCCACTCACCCCCACACCCCCCCAAACCCCCAAACCCCTCCTAACCATCAAGCCCAACTTGGCTAACCCCAAAAAAAGAAAAAAAAAAATTAAAAAAAAATCAATTCGGCCCGGGCCCGGGCCCGACCCGGCCGGGCCGGTTCGCCAAATTCAAGGCCCGAGCCCGGACCCGGCCACCCCACCGGGCCTAGGCCTGACCCGGGCCCGGACCCGAGAACCGGGCCGGTTCCGGGCTCGCACAGTGGCGGGCCGGGCCGGTCCCGGGCCGGGCGGCCCGAACCGGGTCCATGCCTATACCAAATTTAAGCAAAAAATTCAATCGGGAAGGTCGTCAAATGATTTTTGCAAGTTAGCTGGTCCGGAATATGTATTTTCTGGACCAGTTAACTTGCAAAAATCATTTGATGACCTTCCTGATTGAAATTTTTGCTGAAATTTGGTATGGATGAACTAGACTTGATGAGAAACATACACAAAAAATTTGAACAAAAAATACCACCGGAAAGGCCCTCAAAAGGAGGAGGCCGGACGGCGCTCCGATCAGGAAATTCCTGACCGGAAGATTACTCATAGTAATCATTAGAAAACAGATAGGAACTAGGTCCATTCACGCATTTTTTAACTAGTTTACTTTTGACTTTAAATAATTTTCTAGTCCGATCCTATGACACATTTTGTTTTAAACTCCAAAGTAACTTGTTTTTCATCTCTATAATATACACTATATTTTTTATTTTATCTCTAACTCTGACATCACTCTACTAAAAATAAGTTATTGTCGATTGCATAAACTTTCTAATTTTTTTTGAGTTCTTTTCCGAATTAATCTGGATTAAATAAGTATTTACTGAAATAATGCCAGGTTAAAACTATTTACTGATCTACTGCGAGATCAAACCGTTTGGCAACTTACAAGTCACCACTCACCAACCGGGATGGCGACTTTCCCAACCACAGTTTAATCTCGCAATAGATTTGTAAATAGTTCTAATCCGATATTATTTCAGTAAATACTTATTTAATCTGCATTAATTTGGAAAAAAACTCTAAAACGTTTATCTATTAGATTCTTAAACAATGTTATGATATGCCATTAAATAGAATTTAACCATTTAACCAGCAGCACTGTAAATTTGTAAATTCCAAGCCAATGTTAAATAAAATTTAACCATTTAACCAGCAGCACTGTAAATTTGTAAATTCCTAGACAATAATCCCAACTCCTAAGTTCTATTACGTTGGCATCAAAATTTTGGTTTTACGATTTGCATATCCCTTTGTAATAGGGTGTGAAAGATGTCATTTTTTTCATCACACCGTCACCATTCTGAGTTGGGAAAAAGAACATAGAAAAGACGCCTTCATTGTTTTACTGACACTCTGACAGTCGGTAGTAACATTTTGTGTGTTCTCTCCCAGTCTCACTTAACAACCAGCAGCAAAAGCAAGCATAACTAAACTGAACAGTTTATCTCAGCTTTGATTGGTTTACTACAAGAAAACTTTTTTCTCATTTCTTGGCACCATCCAGGTTCATATCTTGAAGGTTGAGCAGCAAATCATCAGAACTCAAGTACACCCTGTTTGACGAATTTGATATGGTTTGGGAGATTTCTCGGGCTGCTTCAATCTTTCTCAGTGTGATGAAGGCCGGGTTATTCGCTATGGCTTGTCCAATCAGCTGTGCACTCTTAGCCTCACCCTACAAAACCCAACACAATTTTGGGTTACTCATTTGCTCTGACTTTTTTAGGCCCAGTTCGGTCTTGAATAATGCAATTTGGACCCACAATAAGAAGGTTTTTTGTAGATTTAATAAATTTAGACCTGACCCAGGGGGCACAATTTGGTTTTGAACTATATAATTTGGACATAATTTGGTCCCCACATGAATGCTCATCATAATTAGCCAATTAGGGTAACCTATCTAAATTGCATAACCGGTGAACAATTTGGTTCCTAAAGAAAGTTGTGACCTATAAACCCTTTCCTTCTTTTAAAATGTATATATACATACATGCATGTGTGTGTGTGTCCAAATTATATAGTTATATATATCATACTACAAATTATATACTCCGTATTACAGATATGTGTACTTCCTCCTCAAAGTATACTTAATAGTTATTATTTATATGATTAACTTAACTTGCTTTAAATCTCTAAATTTTTGTACCAAACTCACTATTATGTTATGCTCATATTTTTGTACCAAACTTTCGTGATTCAATAGAATTTCAAGCTTATATGTTGTTAGGAGAGAATTAGCTTTATAATGTAAAACATACTATGAAGTATGAAGTTTATTTTGGAACAGAGGTAGTATATGTAAAATACCTCAACCATCATTGTTTTGGCAATATTGTGTGATCTAAAGCTTATTTCAAATATTTGGTTCTTTTAAATCGAGCTTTAGGAATTTGTACCAACCTGAGCCCTAATAATAGCACTGCGCTTATCTTGTTCAGCCTTCTCAACAATGAACTTGGCCCTCTCAGCTTCCTGAGCTGCAACCTGTTTTGCTTCAATGGCGGCGGTGAATTCCCTCCCAAAAGTCAGGCTAGTAATGGACACATCATCCAGTGCGATGTTGAAGTTAGCTGCTCTCAGAGTCAAAATCTCACGTATCTTTCTGCTCACCGCCTGCATATTTCCAAAAAGAATCTCTAAGTTAGACTGAAATACTCTATTTAGTATTTAAATAACTATTTCAGTAGATTTGTTAGTAAGCATCAAGAAGATCACCTCTCTTTGGGTGATGAGCTGGCTAGCATTATACTGGGCAACCACAGCCTTCAAGGTTTCATGAATGATGGAAGGCAGCACTCTTTCATTATAGTTCTCCCCAAGAGTCCTATATATTGTAGGCAACTGGTCTGGTATAGGACGTGTTAACACACGAAGACCAATTTTCACCTATATAAGCAACACTTATCAAGTGATAAATAACAAAAGCAACCTTACAATCCAAACTTAATTTCATCAACTTTTCGACAATACATTGGTAGATTGTTAAAGCAAACAAATAAGGAATGAGTCTTGCCATCTGAAGATCACGACTTCCTGATGTGCTCTCCACTAAATTGGGTCTTGCACGAACATCATAAATGGTCGGTCTCTCAATCCACGGAAGCATAAAGTGTGTTCCTTCAGGGTAGACCTATCAACAATCATTTAAAGATTATGTCTGAAAAGTAGGCAGAATACAAGGAAACATCAATGCCAGGTAATGATATAGATAATGGAATATGTTTAATATAGAAAATCACAACCTATGCTTATCATAAAAAATAACTTTAATTTATTTGTAGAAAGTCCTTTCACATACAGCTAGAAGACTTCAATAGAAATTGGAAACTGTCAAGCTAGTCAAGCTAGAAACTATCATATTCTGCCAAGAAACTGTATAGCTGGCATCATATAATCCTGATCAAATTAGACACCAGTCATAATTAAGTTCAAGAACACATAATCAATCAAATACAAATATTAATCCCGAGGAACAAGCGCCACAAGAAATTAGAACCATCTCACAAATTCTGCACATGATTGCGGCAACGAACAAACACAACGAAGCTAATAAAAATTAAGTTGTACATTAATACATCCCAACCTTTAGTTTTTAGCCTACGGGAGAATTACATGTATTGGGGCAAAAGAAAGAAAAACTGCGGCTTTTAATATGTTTTTTCAGTGGGAGCATGTCCTTGATTCTTAATCTTATTTAAATATGTTCCAAAAAAGATAATCACTTTAAGGTCATACAATGAGTATATCAGCAAAAGATCCACCTATTTTGACAAGCAAACCATATATTCATCACCAAAACTTAAGAAGAAGACTCCTGTCAGTTCATCATATAAGAACCCACAGATAGATGTGATCTTGAAATATGAACTTAATGCAAAAGCTTACCAAGCCATGACCAACAAAATAAACAAGAAGGTCAATGGGCCTGAAGCAAGAGCAGGAATTTTAACAACCATTACAAATTTCATGGCTATGGCATCAATGTTACAATCGTTACCAAACAATTAGTGGACACACACCTTTTCTTTGATACCACTGATACGGTTGAAGACAATGGCACGATGCCCTCCATCAACATTGTACAGACTGTTGGCAACTCCGTATACACCAATCCCAGCAACAAGCCCAAACTTGATCAGAGCAGACGCGGCACCACCACTGGGCATTTTGGGAATGTTAACATTGTTTAGATTCATCTTTGTAGTCTCTGGAAAAAACTAGTGGAATAACCAAACAGTATCAAGCAATAAAAATGTCCATGATAATTCTCAAGAGAAACATAGCAAAAGATGCACTTCATTATTCCTTGCCTGAGTTAGGACAAACTACTAAGAATTAATTCGTTGACTGGACAGAGGCGCAATTTATCATCTATCATTATATAAAAGCAAAATATTGTATGAACAGTATTCCCACCCAAACATCTCCATGGTAAAAGCCTCAAAAATAGAAATATTGAACAGAATATTGTATACTAACTAAAAAATAGTATCAACTACAATAGAGACTTTTATTGCAGAGAATTAAAGTTAAAAAATAAAGACAACACATAAAGTAGAAACGTTGATGAAAGTTAATCAATGAACACACTATAAACAACCCCAATCAAGTCCCGACATCCTGTTTCTTGGAGAATGTGTACATAATATACATAAAATATAATTACATTTGTTAAAAATACAGCCCATAAAATCTAGCCAGCTATTCATTACGATGGATGTATTTTCAGCCAATAAAATTTCGAAAGTCTGTTCATTGGGACAAGTGTATTTCTAGCCAATCAAATCTCGCCAACATGTTCTGGACATGTGTATTTTCTTTATCAAAAGATCATTCATTTTTCTATAGCTACTACCTGGAAAACACTTTCAGAATGAATACAACTCAATCCTTCTAGCTCTTGTCATCCTCTTTTTCAATCTATATGAAAAATATCATCTTATGTGTGAGTTATGTGCAAACCTATTACTCTGTATTTTATTAGCTTATACAAACATAAAAAGTAATTTTTCTATAATGAATGAATGATTTTTAGATGTTTCAAGTTAACAATAAAGAACTACTTTTGATTCAATGTTAAAGAAATGGTTCATCATCATTTTCATTTACCCTAGTGCCGCAAAGGCTCCCACCTACGGTGGGGTAAGGGGGGGTCGGATGTACGCGGTCTTACCCCTGTACTAAAGCACAGAGAGACAGTTTCCGGATGACCCGTAGTGAAAATCGCGTCCAAAATTGCATGGACTGACTGCTGCTTCATAACAAAGAAGAGCAGACAGTTTAGTGAGCCATTTTTGTTTTTGTGAGGGTAAAAAATACTTTAGTTGTATAGTTAAAATTTTCTTTAATGTATAGCAATTAGCAATGCTTACATAAAGTTTTAGCTTATGCATGTATTAAACAAATAACTCAATTCATGTTGATTTTTGTTTCACTGAAAAGGCATATACTACCTCCGTCGCCAAAACAACTTCCCACTTTCCTTATTTGGGTGTCCCAAAATAAACATCCCATTTCCATAAAAAGTAACTTTTCCATAGAAAATATCAAAATTACCCTTACTTTTTACTTACTTTTTACTTGATTTGACATAAAGTAGGGATATTATTGGAAAGTAAACTACACACTTTAACTTTCCACTAAAATGTGATCAAGTCAAAGTGGGAAGTTGTTTCCAGGACAGAGGGAGTCTACGAAATGATTTAGAGGTAATATTTCGATAACAATCTTGCAGGAGGCATGTTTTGAGAAATGCAGTACAAAATTAACATTAGAAAATACTTAGTATAGTTTAAGTGGGCTGAATTTTCAAAAAATATTTCACTGCTATTTCAACTTAGAGCTAGTTCATGTGTGTGTAAAGTAAGGAGAGTTAAATAGGTTTGCTCCTTAACTATAGAAAAATCATACTCAATATATAGTATTTATGTTAGTTTTTTTTTTTCAATAGTTATGGTAAAACGGTTAATTCAGTTGAAATGTATTTATAGTGAGAATAGGATGTAAAGAATAACAGTCTGTTTGATTTAGGGTGATAAAAGTTCAACAACTAGCATATATTTGTTTGAGTGAGATGAGGATAAAAAAACATTACATTTAGTGGGTTCGATACTGTATTGAATCTTTTGATGAGTCATATTAGTTAGTTACTATTGCTCTTAATTGCAGGAAAATCAGTTTTAATAATAAGGAAATATAGTTAGTTCACATGTGTAAACTAAGAACGGAATGTTAAGGAATAACAATCTATTTGAGTATCAAGTTGGAGTCTAACACGGTAAAGGTCCAGCACACTGATGGTTACCCAAAATTTTATAATATAATGAATTTCATACAGATTAGGTAAACCAAGAAACATATTTTCTTAAAAAATTAAAACTTAACTTTAATGGCTGTCAAAGTGTTCGTGAGTTAGAATCCTCACTCAATATCATAAACAAGGAATGGAAAATGAAATCAGTACCAGACCTTTGGGTTTTAGAATAGCTTGGTATGAAACATAAACATCCACTTAACGAATAAATTCATATGAAAACCTACCGCTCTGGAGAATTCGCCACTGAAACCGACGGAAGATCTTCGGTACTTAGCGTCTTTCTGTTGTAGATCGACGAACGTGATTCAAGACTCACAAGAGTAGATGATGAGATGTGTTTATCTAATGAGCCATGAATAGGCTGGCGGGCTATCCAAACGGGTATAAAATCACAGCTGGTCTAGGTTTATATTAGGTTGGGTTGGTTTATATGTTGGGTTATTTTATTGGGCGATGTACTGGGTTTAAAATGGATTGGACAAAATTATGTCATTGTTGATAGAGAAAAATAATTAAAATATCTCAAACTTTGAAAGAGTGTGATGTAAGCACACTAAACTTGTATATGTAATTTAAATAGCTCAAACTTTATATAAAAAGTTAGTTTCGCACAATAATCTTGTATTATTTTTTTTTAAAATGTCAATAATTGGTATTAATTTCATAATTTAAAACGTTTTAGCATTCACAAAGATACCATTAGCATTCTAAACTTTCATTGTAAAATAAATAGTATTACCCCCCCCTCCAAACTCTATAAAATTACAATGTTTTCAATTTGCTATTTTAAATTATGCAATTAACATCTACATTTTTGAAATGATATATGACCATGGTGTTAAAATAACGTTTTATATAAAGTTTGGGATACTCAAATTACATATGAAAGTTTGGGGTGTTTATCTCACACCCCTTCAAAGTTTGGGGTATTTTAATTATTTTTCCCTCGTTGATAATCGATCCATTAATATCCCAAATCTTGTTGGGTTATTTTCACCCCAAAACACAGTTGAAGCGCATGCGAAGTCGTTGCTTCTGCTAATAAGGGTAAATTCTTCGGCGTGGGTTGTAAATAACCTACACCGGTGTGTGCTGTAAATAACCAAAAGTTTTTCATGAGCATATTGCTCACTTGGGAGTCATTGATTTTAAGGAACCTCAAGTTTAGTGGGAGTTTATAAGTTATGCTTGATGTTATATTGCTTTATGAATTTATTTTCTGATCAGAATAAATGACATTTGGTGTATTCTGAACAATTACGTTATTAAAGTTTAAAGTTTACTAAAGAAGGGTCAGTTGAAAATTTACATGTACATGCCACATTTCATGTAATTTTCATGCTACACATGGATGATGTATATATAAAAAACTAGATAATACAAAGGTACCGTCTTGAAAATAAAAAAAATCGATCGATTGTTTTAAAGAGAGGTAGAGAAGGGTGTGAAATATTGGCACAGGTTACCCTAATGAGGGTCCTGAGAGATGTATTTATAATAGAATAATAAGTTTCCAAAATACAGAATCATTCCTAATTAATATAAGCTATTACACCCCTCAAACTGTGCGGGAGAAACAACGCGCAAGTTGTCTTTTAAAAAATGAAATTGCTGACTAGAGAGACTTTTTGTAAAAATATCAGCTAACTGAAGATGAGTAGGAACATATGTAACATGTAAATCTCCATGAGCCACCTTCTCACGAACAAAGTGATAATCAATTTAAATGTGCTTACTCCGAGCATGCTGAACAGGATTGGCCGTCAAATAAGATGCTGAGATATTGTCACACAAAAGGCGAACTGGTTCTCGGATCGGATAGCCTAACTCGAACAAGATAGATCTGATGTGTATAGTATCCTGGACTGTATAAGCAATGTCGCGATATTTAGCTTCATTAGAAGATTTGGATACAGTAGGCTGCTTTTTGGATTTCCATGAGACCAGATTGAGACCCAAGAAGATAGCAAACCCGGTAGTAGAGCGAGAACTATCAGGACAACCAGCCCAGTCGGCATCAGAATAAGCCAATAAGTGTAAAGGTGCAGAAGACTTCTGAAGCCACAATCCATGATCAAGAGTGCCCTGTAAATATCGGAAAATACGCTTGACTGCAAGCATGTGAGTAGTACGAGGAGCAAGCATAAACTGAGACACTAAATGAACTGCATAAGTAATATCAGGCCGTGTCAAAGTTAAATACTGTAATCCACCTACCATAAGACGAGGTTGCAATATCTCAAAAGGAAATTGATCAGGAAAAAGCATAACAGTACCTACCAACGATTCATATTCGGGACCCAAGCCACGAAGAACAGACTCTAACAATTCTTTGGCCGAAATTGGTGAATTAACCGCAGCGAGAGCATCAATCAAATTTTTAATATCCCGGAGATAATGGTCCATAGACTGATTTTCCCTCTTTTTAAGATTATTTAATTGACGCTTCAATTCCATACAACGAGGTAAACTTGCAGACATGAATCGAGTTTGCAACCTTTCCCATATCCCAAAAGAATGTTTAAGATCATGTACGTCAACTAAGACATCACGAGTAAGAGTAGCAAACAACCAAGATCGGATAGTTTGATCTACCCTTAGCCAATGATAGTACTCAGTGTTTGGTACCTGATGATTATTGAAATCAACAGTATACATGGGGGGAACAGGGATAGAACCATCAAGCATACCAAAAAGGCCTTGTGAGACCAGAAACGATTCAAATTGTGTATGCCAAGTTAAATAATATTCAACAGCTTTTAATTTAATGGTCACAATCTGACTAAAATTAGAGATAGGAGACAGAGATTGTACCAACGAGGCCATGGGACTGCCAAAAATAGACGATTCTAGAGGACGAACAACTCCCGGAGACCCTGTGAAGGTAAGACCAAAGAACTGCGAGGCCGGCAGGGAGGAGGGAGACGCCAGAGTATGTTGTGGGGCTGGCCGAAGCGTCTGCCATGGAAGAGAGGAATAACTCGGCCCGGGAGTCTGAAGAAATGGGAAAACGGTGGGCGAGGACCACAGACTGGAGCTAATCACCGACCCTCCTGAGATTACCGCCTGAGACACACCAGAGAAGACATCGCTAGAGGAGAAGCCTGTGATGGAAGAAGAATCAGCAGCTGTTGATAGGGCGGCACTAATCGAGAATGGCGAGGAGAGCTGAGCATCGATCGCGGTTGCGCTGGTCTCGACGAGTGTGGTGGTCGATTGACTCACAGTGGAGACATGAGTTTCGATGGCGCTAGAGATAGCAGTGTCCGACATCGAGTTTAGTGGGAAAAAATTAGGTTTTAGAATCGTAGGCTCTTGATACCATGTGAAATATTGGCACAGGTTACCCTAATGAGGGTCCTGAGAGATGTATCTATAATAGAATAATAAGTTTCCAAAATACAGAATGATTCCTAATTAATATAAGCTATTAAAGGGTAGTGGTGATGAAATGGCAGGGCTACAAGGGTGGGGGCGTGGGGCTATGACATTTCAATTAACACAAAGTAGCCTATTCTATCAATTTAAGTGTTATCAACCACATGAATCCATTTGGAACCTAAAAATGTTAGGGAAAGAAAACATGGACAAAATAACAGGGAATATGTTTTTTTAGAAGGGAACATAGTTTGAAAGAAAGTGAATTTTTTTGTTCAAACTCAATAAATCAATTTAAATATTTCTTCAAAACTATATAATTAAAATACTTGTATCTGTGTACATCACCATACAACAAAAGGATGTACCTAAACCGACACTCAACTCTTACATCATACGCAAATTGAACTATGAAAACCCGCACATGGAGTTTTAAATATTAAAGACCCGTTTGGTAGGCATCTGGCTAAAATAGGCTGAGTGATAAATTCTCATAAAAGAAAAGTGTCTCGTAACAAATTCAATTTAGCCAATAAGCACAAGAGGCCAGATCAGGCTACCAAACGCAGCCTAAACCAGCCACATTACTCTGCAGCTTTTGACTTAGTTAAATCTACAGAATAAAGCACTCCCGATGGTGAGGTGAGGCGTCTTAGGGCAACGACAAAACGAGTCTGAATATATGAGATAAAAATGGTGTCAGCAGGGTGATAAACTTCAAACGAATAATGAACATTTTGTGTACTGATATTTGAATTTTTTACCCATTGAAATGCAACAAGTGTAAACCAACAGCCTGGCAAACCAGATCCTTTACTACTCAATAGCTGGGTATCACAACAAGAAAATGTCAATTAATGCATCAACAATTCTTAATGTGACAAATAGGAACACTATATGCACACGTGTTCTGCCAAATATAAAGGCCACATTTGAATGATATAGTTGAGGAAAAGAATTGGTGCGCTCCAATGGAGTAATACTCTCACTGTGTGGCATGTTTTATTGAATGAAGAGAAAAAAACATAGTGTAAAAACTTGATTTGTTCAGTTAGTATGCAACGCATAAGCAGAGAGTCAACATAACGAAGAAGAAAATGAGAGAAAGCAAGTCGTATAAATATACAAACTGTTCATGGTTTTCTTGAATACGGCTAATGAGAGTGAGAAAATAGAAATGAAAACCATTGAAAAACTTGAAAGGAAAGAACGCTTGGGGATGAAAACTTGATTCAATGTTCAAACTCAATATATCAATTTTAAAAATACGCTCAAACTCGTTTTGGATACATGTTTTATATCTATAATCTTTATACTGTAAATCTAAATAGTTGTGAAGTTTTAAACAAATATTACTTCTTTTTTTAATGATAAGCTGAAGAATAAGAAATTATTTTCTTAGCATTCTTCCCATTTACTAGAATTTGGTGTTCTAAATAGAGCCTGAACATACCAAAAGGAGGAGGGAAGCCAAACCAAAAATCCCAGACATTGATGTACTGATGAATTTCAAATCTCGTCCAGCCTGAGAGTTCATAAGAACATTTCATATAAACATTACTCTTTACTTATAAAGAACAAAGTACATTTTAGTTTGTGTTATGTTTTGAAAAATCATCAATTGAAGCATAAAGGGCAATTTTTTATATATACTCCATTAGCCACAATACAGAGAGATTGTCAACATTCAACACTTGTCTTTTGTTATCCTCTCACTCTTCGCCCTTCTATACTGTTCCATGAATAAAGTCCAAGCCCTTATATGTTCTTGTCATTCACATTCCTAGACAGGAAAGCATGACGCACATTAACCAAAACGTAACTACATCTTGGTGAACGGGTTTCCCGGGTCCATTGGCTGTAGAGAACAAAATACTACCCTCATCTAAAACAGTCATGTTTGACCAAGCCACCAAGTACCGCTATTTATAATTTTATAAGGAACAATTGCTACAAATCAGTAGTCTTACTAATATTTTAAAAACTTATTTTCCTTTTAAACTAAAAAATATCAAATGTAACAACTCATCTTTGCTCAATTACATTAAATTTGATCAAACATGATGATCCAAACATGATGATCCAAACATGACTCATTGTTTGGGAGAGAAGAGTAAATCCGTCAACCCAGGGTTAACAGGACACTATTGAGATAACATAAACCAAGTGAACATTCTAATGGAAGCTAACATACCAGCAATGTTCCCTCAAGGCTGTGGACACTGGGCGACACACAAAGTGAAAGAAAGTATGGAATCAATATGCGTTGCATCTGGAACAATTGAAAGTTGGAATTAGTTTCAAAAAGAGGTTGAAAATAAATCCAAATTGTCCATCGTGCAAGCAAAGATAAATTTGTCCCATCCATCCATTAAGAATTTAAAAAATACATCGAATTCGATACATATATTTGTATTATTTGTGTGACACATCCATTATTTTCAATCCATAGGATCAGTTTTAGAAAACTTTGAATTCCATGGGAACCATTGCATTTCAAATTTATTAACGGTTTATTTTTGTGTTGGATAATATGTGTGCTCGCATGCTGATGTGTCGTTGTAAGCATTGCTCAAGAATCTCTTAACATGCAAACAATATTAAAATGGATGGATTGGATAAAATATATTAGATAAATCATGGATGGATTAAATGTTCTAATGATCCATAAATGGATTACTGTTTTTCTATCAATCCTTTGATTTTCATCTCAATAAAAAGCAATCTAATACATCCATTTGTCACTCTTACTCTAAATGAGAACTGACAGTTGTCTACTACAACAACAACAACATTACCCTAGTTCCGCAAAGGCTCCCACCTACGATGGGGTAAGGGAGGTCAGATGTACGCAGCCTTACCCCTGCGTCGAAAATAGCATGGACTGACTGATGCTTCATAACTATGACGCACAAACAATTTAGTGAGTCATTTTGCTTTATTACGTCATATTCCCACGCCAAAAATAGTGAGTCTTTGGGTCCATTGGTGATGATGGAAATTACCGACAGCTGTCTGAGTAGATAAAATCAACAGCTAAGTGAACAAACCTCTTGAATGACCATGGGGTCAGGTGAGAATATTTTGGGGAACAACCAGGGAATTGAGGTTCCAATACATCCCAATAAGAATCCATTTAGTGCAGCAATCATCAACAATGACTTGAACAGCACTCGAGCCTGTTTGAACCATAAATCATTCAGAACATTATTTCCTAATTGATATCTGGAATTATATGTTGGAAAAGATGATCCAACTATCTAAGCAAAATGCTTATAAGGAAATGAAGCATGCAATCCATGAATGTACCAATGAGGTTTGTAAATTATTAGAAAGTTAGGGATTGAGTTTATCAGAAGATTACTTTGAAAAACCAATATAACCATATCATACCATGTCACAAGAAATGCTCAATTATCGCAGAACTCAGAACTCGGAAGCAATCTAAATGTTTTTCCTTTAAAGTCAGTAGAATAAAGATAAAACCTTCGACAAATTTCGATTAACTCCATATATCAGCTCGGGCATAAATGACTGTGCTGTCTGAGAGAGAGGCTCGCTCCATACAGCACATAAACAGAACAGCTGTATCATGACCTATATTGTATTGAAGGTTATTAGTATTTATGCTCATAATATTAATTACGCATTCAGGTGCGTAAAGAGTCCATGCAGCCGGTAAAGAGTCCCACCATAAGGGCATATAGGGGGAGAGCCTTAACCTGCCTTTAGCAAGAGGCCACATCCAAGACTTGAACCCGTGATCTTCTGATCACTACAGTGACACCTTAACCGGTGCGCCGGCGTAATATTATTTTTTCGAGAAAAATGATCCAAAAGAAAAACAAAACAAAAAATAACCTGATGGCCAGCAAGTACGTGTGTTCCCATTGATGTAATGCAATAGACAAGCAAAGAGTAAAATGCCACCTACAAGTTCAAATTTGTAAGGTGCAGAGTTCATCAAGCCTATTAAAAGGTACACCTAACAAGAGTAGCAAATAACTGAAAACCTTAGACATCATTGTTACAAACACTGGGCCTGCGAGAATGAATAACTGCAAAAGTTCCTCACATGAAGGAATAGAGACTGCAAAGCCATTATATCCTTTCTGGTTCAAAGCTTCAATCATCATATAAGCAGCAACCACCTAAAATTTGCTACTTAATGATAAACATATCTAATAGAGATTATTTGTATTATTATTAAAGATAACAATGAAATTTAACAGAGATTATTTACACTAATACTCCCTCTGTCCCTTAAAACTTTGCCAACTTTCCTTTTTTGGATGTCCCACTAACTTTGCCACTTTCCCTTTTAAGTAAAGAATTTGTGGTTCCATTTAATTTTCTCTTCTTTGCACAAATCTCGACCACACAGTTTTTACTTTATTAATCTCCGTGTCGGTCAAATTTGGCAAAGTTTTAAGGGACGGAGGAAGTATTAAAGATAACATTTAGATTTCGGCATACTTGTGACACCATTGTTGCCCATGCAGCTCCTGCAATTCCGTAATTGAAGAATCTGCACAGAACTATATCTCCAACACCATTAATAGCACTGGCTACTGCTAATGCTTTTAAAGGTCCCCATGAATCTTTCATGCCTAGGCTGTGTGTGAGCTCAACACAGAGATATAAAAATTCACCAAGTTAACTCATAGACTAAGTAAATTTTTCAAGCAACATTTGAATCTAATTACACATGCATATGTGCGTCTGAGAGATTATATACGCACAACAGTTGAAATGTATATGAGTTGATCTTATCACCACCTTAATTAATCACGACTATGTTGGAGTCAATGACATGAAACTTTATAGTCTCAAATAGTTAGTTGTCTAAATATATTTAAATTCATGCACAAATCTCATATGAGTCAAGAAACCTTGTATTATTATCACTATTATTATTCGTATATCTGCTCTAGCCAACTTCTCAATTAGCATTTATCTCATTTTATAATTATTCTTATTCTGCTTTAGGCAACTTCTTAATTAGCATTTATTTCCTTTTATAGTACCATGAGTATTATTTAATAAACAACCAATAATTAATTCTCGTGGATCTTGACAAGGTCGGACACCGATTAATTCTAGCTTAAGCTTAATTTTTTATTACTCCCATATTCTCTATTTCCTAGATCTGAAACGAGATCACAACCACGCTCGTACAAAAATTCGGTTTCAACCATCAAATTTCAAAAGAAGAAACAGTGAGATGAAATTTCAAAAAAATACACTATAATAGGGTTATAAAATCTATTCTGCTTAAATTGAAAATATCATGAGACGGGGAGATGAGTTAATTAAGCTAGTTGCTATAGTGATGGCCCATTACAAAATTAATATTGTAAAATCAATGAATTTTATAAGATTACAATAAAGGTTAGTCCCATAGATCACTTCTGTTTAGCATTCCTCTAAACAGAATAAGAGAAATTGTTTCAAACCTTGCACTTTGGGTGACCAATCCAACTAGTATTGCTGGCCATGCTAGCCCTCGAATCTATTAAAGGGAGAGTTTAATATTATTAAATTGTAGCTGATACGAATGCAGCATACAAACCAAACAGTTGGACTATTAAATAGTCAAGCATCTTTGAGGTGGCACATGCATTTCTCAGAACCAAATCCGCACAGTTTAAATGGGAAAGAAATACCAGACAGCGGATAAGATGATATGCACATAGTCCCATTGGCCATACTTTACTTGAAAACATTAGAAATATAAATTACTATTACAAGGAAAAAGACATAGGAATTTACTTATTCACAAAAGAACCTGAACATATGTATTTGCCGCGCTTATAATTTCAGCATTTCTTGCCCCCGCAAAAGCTGAATGCCACATCAGTAATTTCATCACTCGCCAGACTGAATATGCTGCTAATTAAATATCATAGACCTAAAAAGTACTAAGAAGTTTCTATTACCAGTTAGGGCCAATGGACCAAATAATCTTGTAAAGAAAAGCATTAGACAACCGAAGGTCAATGCAACAAAAAGCAATGTAGATATTTGGTGTTGAACTTCATGTTTATCCTGCACCACACCAAAAGCACAACCACAGCCTGTTTTTATGGGCCAACAACTACACAACTCTCTAGCAGCTAATGACATTAATGGAACTTAGCAGTGCCAAATTGTTCAAATTGCGTACCTGTCTAGCTAGAGCAGTAGCCACCAAATTAGAAGTAGCAATTGAAAGAAACATAAAAACGTAGCTTGCATTATCGCAAAAAACTGTCCCTGGTCCTGACAGTATGGAAGTCAAATGAACATATAAATGCGCAAATCTATTCAAATATTCACTGGTATAGCTAAAAAGAGCTGAAGAACATGCACGCAGGAATGGGCAATACCTAGAGCTGCTAGCTCGAGTGAGCTTCCTTGCCCGACAATAGCAGTGTCAATTAGGCTCATCAACGGACCACACAACCAAAGCCCCACTGCCGGCCCAGAGAACTTCACAATTTCCACAATTTGTGTCCAGATGCCGTTATCTGCAGAAAACTCTTGTACCTCAGCCTTAGACTCTAACATGCGGGTTGAATTCTCTGGCTCCTCGAAGCCTTCATCAGGTATATGTATATCTCGACTTTGACTGGTGCAGGCGGTGGTGACTACGGTTTGACGAAAGCGGAATCGAGTCCGTTTCAGAACGGGTGAAGCGCGCAAACAATCGGGTGGGTTGTCGGTGCGGGCTTTCCGGCTCAAGCTATGAACTCCGAGTTGGACTGGAAATGAGAAGTTGAGTGTTCGGATTCCGAGGTACATATTGACGTTCAGAGCAGCGGCGAGCGGCTGAGCTGCCAGAAGAAAGATTGGACTTGGCTACTTTTCGCACCGAAACATAAAATACTTCAAATTTTCGCGGCTTCAGATAAAGCGTGAACAGGTAATGCTGGGATGCTGGCTATGGTGTCACGAACAACCGTCCGTTCAAATTTGATGCAGCCCTTCAGTTTTCAGAACACGAATCACTCGTTATTTGTTCACTCTAATTTGGTGGCTACTGCTCTAGCTAGACAGGTGGCTACTAAAGTGATTCGTGTTCTAACTTGGTGTTCACTCTAATAATTCATCTGCTCTAGCTGCATCAAATTTTGATATTCATCTACCTCCTCCAAATTAAATATCCACAAGAAAGGAATAATTCAATTAAATAAAAGAAGATTTTGCGATTAAGTGATTTAATTTAATTAAATAGGTAGATGAACGACTTATATGAGATTTGATTCAAAGATAAAAATGACTTGGTATTGCTGCTTTCCATTTGTTGATATATTTTAGTCGATCATTGTTATATCTATAACTTATCCCATCTCGAATACTCAATTGAGGAGTATATCCAATTCATTAACAACGACTGTTCATTAATAACCCTTACTATTAGTCAAGTATAGAACACTGCCATATACCGACTTGATAGTAGCATTTAATCTCTTAACTCCTTGATGAAATTAATTGAGATTGATAACCTCAACACAACAGTTTCGGTTTAACCAACAAAATTAATCCCTCTTAAGTTTATTAACCATGACCGTGCATTAATAAACCGAAGTTACTTACTTGTAAAACCATCAACGATTAACAAGCGTATTCGTCAATCGATTCTAGTAATAATTAATATATGAAACAAAATTAGTTGATCATTTAAGTAATGCTCAAAATATTAATATGAAATATGAATAGGAATTAATTAATATTCAAGGAAGTATATTAAATATGATAAATCCTACTATAACTAATGTCAAGATGTTAACTAATTGTCATCTTAACAACATTCCCCAACATTAATATATAAATATATAGAGGAAGAAAATGAATACTACTATAACTAATGTCGAGATATTAACTAATTGTCATCTTAGCAACACTCCCCAACATTAATATATAGATATATTAAGGAAAGAAATAATATTCAAGGGAAGAAGTTAAGAAAATAACTCACAACTTTAATAATCAACAAACTTCAAGAGCAACACCAAGAAATGGAAGTTTAGCTCCTCATTTGGAGACTAAACATGCTATAAAATATAAAAGAAATATTATTCTAAACTGAGCTTAAGAGTATGGAAGAAGGAATGCTTATTTGTGAAGGAAAAGTGTGCTATTTATAGGTGTTTTTCAACACCTTGGGCCGGGTACCCGACCGGGTGCATGTCAAAATCAAATAATCTTCCACGTTCTTGTGTTTCAGCACGTCGTTTTGTCCCGGGTCACATCTGACCCGACCGGGTCAAATAGGGGACCCGACCAGGTCCAGTGATTTTCCAGGCTCTTAAATCGTACCCGACCGGGTGAGTATTCCTACCCGACCGGGCAAGTGTCCCTGGGCAGCGTTCCTCTTGTTTTTCCTCCTTTTCCTTGCCAAAAAGTCTACCACTACTTTACAACTTATAAATGGAAGCTAAAAACAATTACAAACCAAATAAAATAAATGTTTACAAACTAATAAAAATGGTAAACAATACACACAAATCAAACATAAAAATATACATTTATGCAATACTAATTAGTGCATATCAATTTACTTTTTCGCCAATTACAGTGATACCCGCGGCGGAGATGTCATTGCGGAAATGTGACAGTGACATGAATATTTGGCAGTCACTTCATATTTTTACAAATGTATAACCATCTTAGTCTTATTGTAATTTTGTCCAAATGTAAATGCGATCACTTTTTAAAATTATCTTTAATTTAGTACGTAGTAATATTTAGGGAAAACCCAATTTTTTCCTTAAGATCAAGGTTCAAGTCCTCCTTGATTAAGTTATACTCCCTCCGCCCCAAATAGCTTCGCTATATTAACTTTTTTTGTTCAATGGCAATCAATTTTGACCAATAATATTTTTTAATATGAAAACTACATCAAAATGTTCCTTATTCAAACTATTTTCATAAAATTCTAAATTTTAGAAATTATATACAAATATAATAATTAAAATTATTGTCCAAAATTTGTCATCATTAACTAAGAAAAGTCAATATGACGAACTTTTTTGAGACGGAGGCAATATAACTTTTTCATCTAACTTGCCTAAATAGAGGCATATGCAAATAATACAAGTTACATACTTCATCCGTATTTTAAAGTTTGGTACACTTTCCTTTTTTGGATGTATTTTAAAATTTGTTACACTTTCTTTTTTTGTTAAGTATTTATTTTAAAAATACTCAATTACACGTATTTTTCTACTTTTTATCTTCCTTTTCATACTTTTCCACGTTCTCTCCTACCTTTTTTACACTATTTATCACTCGTACTATTTCATCCTTAAATAATGTGTTCAAACCTATTGTAGTGAAGTTTTAAATACGAAGGGTGTACTAAAATAAAACTTATCTACACAAATATGACTAAACTTATTGCAATGTAGTGTCATGGTAACTTAAGGGCCTATTTGTTACGATGTAAAGTAAACACTTTGCGTGTAAAGCGTGAGCCCGTTTTCTTCTCTGTTTTTTGGATTTGATCGGCACCCCCTCTGCGCACGAAGAGAGCCCTTCCACCTAGGAAGGCTCTCTTCACGCGCAGGGGGGTGCTGGTCAAATCCTGAAAAACGGAGAAGAAAAACCGTGACTTGCGTGCGCGGGCGACCTGCGGACACGAATGTCGTCTGAAAATCTATCTTACAAAGATAAGATTTATTTTTTGATTCTTCTTCCCGTAATGTTCCTATTTTTTGCTCCAAAATCAGCTCGTTAACAACTTGTTGCTCGCTGTTCAACGGTCACTAGCAGACTGCTGGTGAAATGTTACAACATTGAATGTCCAACGTTCTTCTCCCTTAATTCTCCTTTAAACTGATAGTTTATGGACGTATTGATGCCAAATGTTCAGATCATTTATGTCCAACATTCAGGTCCATTAAAACAAGCTTAACACACAACTAATTCGTCCTTATATATAGTTGGCAGGTGCTTTGCAACAAGACACGAAAACATACACAGTCTTCACGTAGTTTTGAGCTAAAACCTCTTCTGGCTTTCTGAAAATTCCTAAGTGTTCAGTCTTTGTCCCTGTTCGCCGGAACAACCGGTTGTGTGCTCAAACGGTTGTTTGTAGCCACGGTATCTTGGGAAACTATCTTTGCAACGCTTCTAGCACCGTGAGAGACAACAAATACGTTTTAAAGAAATTGTGTGTTGCACAAGCTTTGGTTTTCTGTCGTTGTTTCTGTTTTTCTTGGTTATTTTATTTAGGAAAATTTGACTGGAATAATCCGAACTATGACCCGTCCGCTTTTAATAATCCCTACTACGTATTATATCTAATTAATCCGTACTTAGGGGTGTGTCTTCCGTTATTAGACTGCAATGACCGGACACCGGTTGAGAAGGTCAGAATTTAAATAAAAAAACAAATTCGTGAACCTTATCCTCATCCGCGCTTCACTGTGGTAAAGTTAATGCTTCTTCTGCGTAACAGGTGAGTCTTTATCTTCTTTAAAGAAAAATCATAAATGTCCTGTAAAATTTCAATTTGTATAGCGTGAATCTTGTTTACGTCTTTGTGTTCACTCATCTGACTCGTCTTTGCGAAGGAAATAATCTGATGTGAGTCGCCAAGGGAAGAAGTTCAAAGGTGAAGCTGAGTCACACAAGGTCAAAGGTTAAAAGTGATACGACAGGTAAATTGCAAAACTTTTCGAATTATATTTTACTGGGATGGAGTAGAATTGAACTTGAGCTTTTATGGTATAGGATTTGTTGAGTAATTTGAGTTATTCTGGGATAACTAGAACTGGTTGGTATGTGTATCTAGGGTTACAGTACTGAGTTGGTTTAGGGAAATTAATTCAAATTGAATTTGAATGATTTTATTTACAAAAAGAGTGTCTCTCTTACAAAAATTATGCATACTGCTATCCTATATATGTATTGCCTTATGGTAAAGGATTAATTGAGTTATTTGAGTTATTCTTGGAAATTTAGAACTGGTTGGAACTGTATGTATATTTAGGGTTATAGTACTGAGTTGCTTTAGGGAGATTACTTGAAGTTGGATTTCTGCTTTAGGAAGATTACTTGAAGTTGGATTTCTGGGAGTTTATTTACAAAAACAGATTATGTCTTACAAAAATATTGGTTTGTGCTATCCTATATATTACAATGTACTACCTTTTGTTGATTTCAATTCAGGTTGTAAGTCAAAGAAAAGGGGATGACTTTAAATACTGTGGTTACACTTAAGATCTGGCATGGAGGTACCTTTAAGAAGAATGCTAGAGGAGAGTTGGAGTATGCATGGGGTCAGTTTAGATGCTTTGATATAGATGCTGATGAATTATGTTGGTTCTGGAAAGTGTGGGAAATAAAGTAGTATTGATGAAATATATTACTTGATCCCCGGTAAGAGTTTGGAGATAGGTTTGAGAAGTGTTAAATTTGATGTTGAGGTGAGAGAAATGTACAAGGTAGTAATGCAATATAGTACCATAGATCTGTACATTAGACATGGGCTTAGTTGTCCTGAACTTGTACTACTGCTTGGAGGGACCGGTGAAAACATAGGTGGGTCCGGGGGCAGTGAACCACATACAACTGCAGGGACTGGAGGAAGTACAGCACAGCCAACACAAGGAGAGGGTTGGGAAGAAACAAAAACTCCATACAACACTTCACAGTTCACACACTTCTACTAATCTAACAATACAAACCATCAAGAATAACATAGTTATCACTTGGACTTCCCATACAACACAGCAGCAAAAACAATCTAGGAGATGAGCAGACCAATAAATGAGTACTTCTCTCCTTTTGCATGCTTGGAAACTAATTCCTGGAGCTCCTCAATTTTAGCTTTGAGCTTTTGATTCTTCTTTTTCAACTTTGCAATTTGGTCTTCTAAATCTTTTTTCTCCTCATCAAGATGGTCGATTATTATTCTTCCTTTTTCCCTTTTCTTTTCATCTGCAACCGCCATGGGTGGATAATCCCTAACCCATTGAAAAAACGAGCAATCTGCGTTCTACAAAAGGCCCCATTTTTCATACATCATTTAATTCATAAATCAGTCAAACTTACGGGCCATAATGCACATCCATAAAATCTTCGACCACGGTTAGAGCCTGATTT